CATCGAGACAGATGACAATGGTGCAAAGAAGGTTGTGACTACATTTGGTTGTAGCTGTGTTTAGCGGTATGGCCACGTTTAAGTACGTGGCTGAAGGTTTTGACACTAGCGATAAAGGCCAGTTTGATTGCTACTGTTAGCTGGTGATGATGGTTGACGGCTGACATACATTAGTTATGAAGGTTGACCTTACCCTTTTTAAGGTTTTTTCTTTTCTATTTCGGCAATGGAAACCAAATTGAGTTTGTAACTGAGGCTAACGTTTCTTTAACATTAGGCTCTAATACAATATTAAGAATGGTTTGATGTGTATTTTATTAAATATTACAGCTCTATATATATATATAAGTTTTTTAGGATGGAACAAAAAAATAGACAGTTAATTACAATTAATTTTATATGATTTAATTTACCCTTGTACTCTTTAACTTAATTTGTTCTTTCTTTAACAGCTTTAAATTTTCTCTATTACACACTTTGCAAAAGAGATTGCAAATTAAGAAGAATAGATAAGAATACCTCCTTTAAACTGCCAAAAACCGGTTAAGAGGGGATAAACCAGTCTAATCTTGACAAAGCTAGTACAAAAGTTAAAACAGAACGCAATACAAAAGGCCCACTCACGGTTGTGCGTGCATGAAGTCCACACACCCGCTTCCAGTCACCAGACGACAGTGGTCATTTGACAGTCGGCTCAAGCAGAGGCGCTGGTCTTAGATCCAAGGTCGATGTACTACACAACAGTCTAGAAGTCCGAATTTGCAAGAGGCAGCGGCTGTGGGAACTTGCGCCAGTGATTGTGGTGGTTTGCAGTGGATTTTGCGGTAAGGCTTCAGCGGTCAGCCAGTAGGGCATTTCTAGAGTGGGTGATGGTGGTGGCAGTGTCGACCACCTTTGGCAGGTGGCTGGTGAACAGTGCTGTCGGATGCTTTAGGATTTCAAAATTTTTTTCTTGGCAATTTTTTTAGACATGTTTGGGAATGCTTGGGTGGAAGGTTTTAAGAAGTTGAGTGTAGGATTCTTTTAACTCTAATACCAAATCAATGTAAGACAAATTAGGGTTAATTTGCCTATTAGGAAATAAAGAAAAACCTACATATCACACCTAGTGTTCTTAAGCATCATACGTAAGAGTTGCCTGAGTTACACAATCAATTATGAAAATTTTTTTAAAAAATATTGTTGAATATTTGAATAAATAACAAGTGAAATTATAAAACTATTTATAATAATCTCTAAATAACTTTTCCTAAATAAAATTAAACAAGCAGATAGTGTTATAGTAGAATTAAGAATATTAATCCTAATACAAACTAACAAGAATAAACTTCTAACTCTAATAAGAATAAAATCCTAAGTTACTAAAATCATAATAATATTCCTAAATAATATAATAATAGACTCCTAATAGTTAGTTGTTCTACATTTAATATAATTACAATTTTTAATTTCTTTGAGAAATTTAGTGCTAACCCATTCTGCATCACTATACTATAGGCAAAAGCTTGTGGACAGTTTCCAGGCATTGCTCTCTCAGTGATACATATGAATTGGGAGGCGATAATCTTGTAATGACATGGATTTGGAGTCTACACTCTTCTGTTTGGTCTTTTGTATCTTGAAGCTTTTTGTTTTAGTTCTTCTAGTTGAAGTTTCAAGGAGGATGTCTTATTTTCCACTTATACAGTTTCTTTCTCTTCCTAATATTATTTCTTCCCTATCTAAAAAGATCAAGAATTCACAAGTGAAATTACTATGCTAATAACCTTTAAAAGGATAATCAGAGGATGTATCCCCAAGTAACTACATTAAGATATCTGTATGACAGAGCTGGCTTGTAAAATCTAGTATAAGCTTTGAAAGATAAGGAAATAAACCTTAGTCCTTTGATTTCTTTGTTCATATCTGCAAGCATAAGTTGTGCAAAATAAACCTGCAGAGAACGGAACTTCGTGATCTTCCAAAATATGAATGCATAAGATATTAGAAATGATATGTATCAATATAAAGATAGCATCAAAAGTTACTGAAACATGACTTACCAGCCCATAGCCTGTGGCTTCAGTCCTGAGGCTAGAACCAGACCAAAATATCCTTGGCCCTG